TAACCAATGACAATCTATTTCACGCTTAGCGATTTTTCAAATTGGACGCTCGTTTATTTTGTATGCACTCGTTTATTTATTACACACTACTTGTTTATTTGAGAGCGGCCAAAATAAAGAAGCGTCCATTTTGAAAAATCAATATGCGTGAACAGGTTGTTAATGAGTAAATAAATAAATTTACACACAGACACACACACACACACACACATATGATTAAATGAATTACAAACATTATGTATGCTTATTTTTAGGATAATCCTTTCATATTCACGAATATTTTTCGGTACATTACATTCAGATGAGGCAAGAAATGCACTGTAACAGTGAAAATCACTTTCATTTACCAAGTACTTTCAATCTCTTTTTGTAATCAGGGGTGCAACTGGTAAGGCAAAAACTGTTACTGATTATTTTTCTTTTTGCCTTTAAATGCAACGGCTGACAGTTATGCTTTAGTGTTCATTAGAACGTAAAAAAATTACCCACTATGGAATTTCTTTCTTTTATGCTAGAATGTCATGGACATGCGCGCGCAATGAAATACACACACACACACACACACACACACAATCTGGTAAAGTCTCGATATAATTCAACGAAAATCAACGTAGATACAAGATATGTTTAATTTTATTATATATACATATTATTATTATTATTATTATTATTATTATTATACTCCGCACAATTGCTGATGTCGTTGTTTTTTGCCGAAAGCAAAATATAATTGATGGAGTCTGACTTTCCAAAAACTAGCTGGATACTAAAGATGGCTTCAAGTCAGGATTTCGTATTCTTGGTCATTTGCCATTAATCAGATAGGTGGAGTAAAAAGTGCGAAAATACAGAATATCTTTGTTCCTCGCGTTTGAAGATTACAAAATGGTATTAGATTCCATCAATTTCGAGCTTACATTTCAGGCGCTGAAACAACAATAAGCTGGAAAGACACACCAGCTTCCATCTAAAGACGTCTGCACTGGAGTAACTTGTAATCTACGTCTACATAGAAACATCAAAATGACGTTAAACAACCCGACAATTTACTACATGCGTTTTCGTCTCCATCATCGGCTAAATAAACCTGGAGCGAAAGTAATATCATTGTCTTTGAAAAATGTTTGTCCCCTCTCATTTCATCACCAGAAGAATGAGAAAGCATATTCGTGGATATTATAAGTTGATCTATGGATAGTTTTTCCCAATTCCGCACGATTCTACAAAGCCAAAATATTAACCCTGAGAATGAATCCTGAGTCATGTTTTTAAATAGTCTCGTCAAATCTAGACTCTCATATGGATGTCACGCATGGCGTGAATCTCCTTTAGGAATGTCTAAACTATCAGCTATATACAACAGTTTTCTCAGCTTATGTTTGAAAATGACTTTAAATGAATGATCTCATAGACTCACTCTACAGAATTTTAAATAAACCATTTTACGAAATAACAGAAACCACGTCACTTGAACACTTCAACTTCTGACAGTAGCAATAATTAAAATGGAAAATGTTGTGACCAAGTAAATGGTTAAATAAATAACAAAACAAGTGTTGCAAATATATCATATATTATACAGTAAAGAGGACAGAAGAATATTACATGACTAGTGAGTGTGTGTCGGTTGACCCAACGTTCTTGACAGCCCCCCCACCACCACCACCACGAGGGATGTATGTGCCACAAGGCCAAGTTTACCGTGGGTTCTCCGAGCCCGTAGGCTCGGCCAAAAATATTCCCGTAGAACCCGCATTAGCGAGTCCGGCTCTGTCTACCTCCCCAGACGAAACTTTGCCCTTCGGCGAAGCCTCGTCCGAGACCTCTCTGCTCAAGGCAGAGAGTTCGACAGCAGGTGCGAACAGTCACAGCCTGATAGAACAATCATTCGACTCTTAATATTTAATAGCAGCTCCCCACGAGGTATGTATGTGGCACAAGGCCGATTTTGCCGTGGGTTCTCCGAGCCCGTAGGCACGGCCAAAAATATTCCCTTAGAGCCCGGATAAACGGGTTCAGGGTCTGTCTACCTCCCCCGACGAAACTTTGCCCTTCGGCACAGCTTCGTCCGAGTTCCTCTCTGCTCAAGGGAGAGAGTTCGACAGTAACGAATAATCTATTAGACTGGTGGTATGTATGTGGCACAAGGCCGACTTTACCGTGGTTTCTCTGAGCCCGTAGGGTCAGCCAAAATATTCCCTTAGAGCCGGCATAAACAGGTTCAGGGTCTGTCTACCTCCCCGGACGAAACTTTACCGGCACAGCTTCGTCCGGTTTACTCTCTGCTGAAGGCAGAGAGTTCAACAGCACAGTGCGAACAAATCTATTCGACAGTTGCCCCAAGGCCTTCTCTCCTACTAATCTTATAGTAGGCGGGAGAGTACAACATAGACTCTTTAGAGGGAGGACACAACAACAGATACCACATGTAACTAGAATGGATAATAATATGATGGCACTGACTGAAACAAGAGGTTACGAAAGAAATGCCCGTCAATATTAAAGAGCGATAAAAGTGGATTTGAGAAGCCTGTTTTCTTTAGATTTTATAAATTTCAACCGTCATTCCGGATGTTTCCTTATAAGGAAACGGTTAGTCACACCGTTATCATTACTGTAAGACGAATAAACGTGTTGAAGTGAATATGAACATGGGCAAGAACGAAGTGATTTTCAACAAGTGGTTTTAGTTAGAAGTCAAGATCTGCTAATAATGAGAGAGATTTGCATCAAACCTACTGAGATGCTTCAAACAAGGTTGGTTAAAAGACAGCAAACTCGACAATGTCGCGAGAGAAAATGCGTTCAATAATTGCAACCTACAAGATAAGACTTACGGATACGGAACTTTAGCAATTAGCAGCTGCCAAGGAGATGTACTCGCGATAGCCCAGAGGTAAATAGAACGGATCCAGTTAACCACTGTCGTGCATGATATAACGCACAGAAGCAGCTGGATAAATCGTCAAACAGGAACCGCTGGTATGATCCAATTCATCCGGCGCGCCAAGTAATATGTGTATAATGTGTATATTTGGTCACTGGAAATTTGTCATTTTGCCGACAGGCGAAATGACAAATTTCCAGTGACCAAATATACACCAAGACAAAAGGCCAGAACGCAAGACCGACTGTATTGGAGCGAATAGAGTGCGACACAAGTTCAGCATAGTCGTTCTTTGTCAAGAATAGACATAGATGTAAAAATTATATTATTACTAGCAGCCATAGCCAGCTGGTCGTTCAGAAAATACGCTCAATTAGAATGGAGCAAAGACAGCATCATGTTTAGACGTAACAGAGTCCATCTTCTTCAATTAATGCAATTACTGATATATCAGAAGTAGTGTGTATTTATTCAATCGAAGCTAGCCGAGGACATGAAGGGAATATAAAGACCCATTTCAAATCACAATTATTTTGGAGTTTTTGAAATTCAGTTTGTCAGTGTGTTACCAGGGATAACAGCGAAAAGAGGGTACTTTTATAAAGCAATTGTTAAGTTTAATGAAAATTGGTTGAAAGATCAACGAAAAACAAGAAAGCGGCCAGTAAAAGTTGCGATTTTTCGCTATTTACGCAGGTTTTCATTATCTGGGTTGAATCAATTATCAAGTTAAATAACTGTTAAACAATCAACTTATTGTTTGGCTACAATTGAGTGAAATTTATATTAGATTGCTTGAAAATTCTGAGAGGTTTTAGCTTAACATTTTTGTTGAAATTGATTTGTGTTGAAATCGAGTTTTCGTTTTTCGCGGTTTTTCGCAAAACGCAGTGGCGTAGAAATAAAAATGAGGTATCGTTGAGCTTGTCATGATGTAAGTACTCTACGTACTGAGTAACGAAATCGGAAGAAAAATGTTTAATTTATCGATTTTTGATCGTCTTTTAAAAAAAAATCAATTTTTTACGCTAAGAACCCATCTCTTACATTGTACAATGTATGTGCTAAATTTGGTCAAAATCGGTTAGATAGATCTCGAAATGAAAAGCTATCACACAGACAGACATCCGCTGTTTTATATATAAAGATACTTTGAAACTGGCAGTTACCAGGGAATGTAAATTTTTATGCAAATGGCGTCTTCTAACCACAGACAAGAACATTTATACTTGTTGCATACCCTTAGCTACAGTTTCTGTGAGAGAGGCCATAATTTATCATGATCACCAGCTTAAACAACGCCAGCACACACAAAGCCTCGGTCACGATGACTTGTGACTTAATGTTATCACAACTATCATGGCTTTCCGAACTTTCCCGTACACCCAATTAAAAGAAAAAGGCTTGGGCCAACCAATGGTATGGCTTCAGGTACTTTCCGGGAAACACGGCAACCCTAAAGAGGTTTAAAAGGTTGGAAGCGAACTCTGTGCATGCCACAGATATTAAAATTGACTTATGGTCATTCTGCACCATGACAATATATCTTACACTATTACAACACTAGTGTCAACTTGCACAAAACCTTGATGACACATGGACTTCTTCTAGCACGAACTCGGCCGTCTATACTAAATATCATTTATCTGAATAAATAAAACGGTTCCTGTCTGCAACGGTCTGAAGATGAGATTCATTGATCCAGTTGAGACGTATTATTCGATTAGATGGACATTAATATATCCTCATGTGTGTTCAAACCTAGAATATAGTGCTGGGGTACGCAATTGAAATCTAAAAAGAAAAGAAAAAAGCCTCTCCATTGAATACCATTATTTTGCTTGATACATGAAACTTTTATAAATGATTCATGAACATAAAGAAAGTCTCTTAAAAGACACCACACATGAAGACTGGCTCAATAATGGTACGTCGCTGATCGATGACTACGTAACCTCATGGGATACAGTGTACTCACTAAGATTATGTTGACTGATGGGTTGAGTGGCACAGGTCTATAATTCGGCTGTGGTCCTATGCAATGTTCTTCACTACTTGTTTGTCACCATTTATCAGTCATCTGCGGTCCCATCGTTCTGGGTGTCTATATTTTTCACGTGCTGCTGATGTTCGTCCTCATTTTACATATTGTTTTAGATAGATAGATAGATAGATAGATAGATAGATAGATAGATAGATAGATAGATAGATAGATAGAAAAAAGATAGCAAGAAAGAAATAGAATGCGATATTTAGAAACAAACTGAGATAGATAGAAAGATAGAAAGAAACAGACTGAGATAGATAGATAGATAGATAGATAGATAGATAGATAGATAGATAGATAGATAGAAACAGACTGAGATAGATAGAAAGATAGAAAAAAAAAGAAACAGAGATAGATAGATAGATAGATAGATAGATAGAAATAGATAGATAGATAGAAATAGATAGAGATAGATAGATAGATAGATAGATAGATAGATAGATAGAAACAGACTGAGATAGAGAAAAAAAAAGAAACATAGATAGATAGATAGATAGATAGATAGATAGATAGAAAGCGACAGGCTGAGAGAGAAAGATAGAAAGAAACAGACTGGGATAGATAGATAGATAGATAGATAGATAGATAGATAGATAGATAGATAGATAGCACTGGAATCTTTAGATGTGAACAGGAGACATGTCACCTGTCTTCCAGGGTCCAATGGCGATGTAGTGTAACTTAAGTGAGTCACAATAAATATGGTAGTAGTAGTAGTAGTAGTAGTAGTAGTAGTAGCGTAATTGTTAGTCGATATTACAATGAATACAGTTTAAGCTTTCAAAGGATTGGATCAGACGCAATGTCACCATTCGTTGAATAGTTACAAACATTCACCGTCGACAGTCGGTCCTGTTCGCACATCGCTGCCTGTGTCCATCTCTCCATGTTTCACCTGTTAATGGTTTATTACAGCAATTCATATACTCAACAGTCTTGAAAAATTGTACAGGTAATTACTACCTTGTACATAGAGTTCACAATTTGTCTGGCTTCAACAATCTTAAATCTTCTCTGCGCACAATCACTACCACAGCGACATAGTCGCGGCTACACTACCTTTTTATGTATTACGTCATATAGTTTGTCAACAAGGGCAGGATGAGAAAACATATCTAAATTCTTATGAAAAGGATGTGAAAATTCGCATAGTTAAAGACAGAGTTTAGATCAGATTTCCAGATTGCATCAATTTTGTTCAAGGCGGATTGTAATGGTTGGCGTGTAGGTTCAGGAATGTCGGATTTAACTCGACCTAATAATTAATACCGAGATAGATAGATAGATAGATAGATAGATAGAAAGAAAGAAAGAGAATCAGATAGATAGAAACAGACTGAGATAGATAGAAAGATAGAAAGAAACAGACTGAGATAGATAGATAGATAGATAGATAGATAGATAGATAGATAGATAGATAGATATGAACAGGTTGAGATTGACAGTCAGACAGATAGATAGATAGATAGATAGATAGAAAGAAAGAAAGAAAGAAAGAAAGAAAGAGAATCAGATAGATAGAAACAGACTGAGATAGATAGATAGATAGATAGATAGATAGATAGATAGATAGATATGAACAGGTTGCTATATATATATATATATATATATATATATATATATATATAGAGAGAGAGAGAGAGGGGGAGAGAGGGGGAGAGAGAGAGAGAGAGACGTTAAAATCACGTGTCTACAACGTGAGTTAAGTCCAATTGTCGGAGGATAACGTTATCCAAGTCCAAGAAGTGCAAGCATGATTTAAACACTATGAAGAAATTCTACGTCATCAGAGAAGTGAAGAAGACTATGAAAAGAATTTTGATGATCAAAACAACATTTGAACTGTGTTGGATGTTTCCATATATCGACGAGCTAAAGGTGTGATGAGAATAATGGCGAAAATGCGAAATGCTGAATAATTTCCTAATAATTTACGCTGTGATGTTTTTTCTGTGATGTGTTTTCCGTGATCCTTTGGTGTAATAAAAACCTGTTATATGTTATTCTGCTTTCACAATTGAATACATGGTAGTTGATACTCATCTTTAGTACATATACATGTTTTTGTGAACTTCATTACTAGAGTGATATATGTATTTTATTTTGTAGTTTTGTTAACGATATGTTTTGGAATACAGTTTGATTTCTTTAAGAAATTATGGAATATTATACAGTAAAAACTCGAAGCAACGCTTCTGGAACCAACAGAATCCGGATTTAACTCTAAAACATTTCAAACTTTATTTAAATGTATATGGTAACTTAAAAATAAAATAAACATGCACACACTCTTGTACAAATTAATTGAAATAAAACGAACAATTCCGTTATTATTTACTTTTTTTCGTATTTTTCCAATGAAACACAACCCAGTGCAAATGTTAGTACTTTGTATGTCCATTCCACGAAGTGTTTCCTTGCATATTAAACACAGATTCGCAATTGGATTTAAATCAGAAGAGTTTCCGTGACAGTCAATAGTATTTTGATTTGCACACTTGAAAGGCTTTCCATTGTGTTCGTGCAGCGTTGCAATTTTCGTACGTTTCCTTGGAGTAACGTCTATCGTAGACAATGACCGTAGGACAACTAATCGACAGTCGAGACAAAAGTGTCTGGGCGTGATGAAAAACTAATGCAATCATGGATGACACAATATTCTTCAAGGACAAAAAGATTTCATCATACAACCCGAAAACTGATTCCTATTACTGCACACCACTGCAAATGACCTAATCTGACGAAAAAAATGCACCCTCTCACTCCAGTGGGTCTAAAATGTGGGTCTGAAATTGACCGTATGGTGAAAGAAAGAAAACTAAAGTGGTTCTTTCAATTAATTTGCCCAATGGTGTATATACTGTATTTACATTTATTTACAATATATATATATATATATATATATATATATATTGCTGTACTGGGTGTTTTTATGTCACAAAAACAGGGCTTCAAAGTAACGGACAAACGGCTTTAATGGACGACCCTCCTCGCTATTTGTCCGTTAAATTGAGGTTCCACTGTATGGATTAATGCCATGAAAAGTCTTCCTTTATGTTGATTGATGTACAGTGTAACCCGGATATAAGAGAGTTGTCGGGACCGGAGAAGAAGTCTCTTATATCCGGGTTTCTCTTATATCCGGGTTAGGTCTATTTTATATACATTAACACACGCTCTAATTTGGGACAAGATAAAATCTCTCTTATATCCGGGTTTCTCTTATATCCGGGTCTCTTATATCCGGGTTACACTGTATTATTGGTAACCCTACTATAAATACGTATTGCTGGTATTCTTTTTAATATTAAAATGTATTTCTGATATTTTTACTATAAAAATGTATTTTTATACTTTCACAGGGTCTTGTTTCTGTCTGAAGGATTCATTATTCACCCATAGCTGGGACCCTAAAAAATGTTACCACTCCGGGCCAGGGTATATCTGGGAACAACATCAATTAAGTAGTGGTTCCACGCTCCTCAATATATCCACTCTCCCAATCAGAGGCCTTGCTGCCGCAGGTAGTTTGTCGTCATACCCAGGACTAGGGAGAATGTGATACAAGATCAGTTTAATGCACCCAGATTAGGGCGCACCTCGAGGTGATGCCATAGTTAACAAGCTTATCTCGCTAGAACTATTACGACTGAGTAGTGAATTCGTTCCTCACTGGGAGCCCCATACTTTCGGACTTGTGCTTCATCTAAGGTAGGCTTGGAAAATCACAATGCACCCGGGCCAGAATACCCCCAACCCCCCGTAACCGTCGATTATGCTGGCATCGGTATTTACTTGCAACCCTCCCCACTCAGTGGAATGAGGGAGGTACTGCCACGGGAAGCTGTTCCACAAGACCGGGCATTTCTGAATAATATTTCCAGTTGTGTGTCTGTCCGAAGACCGACACACAATTGAGAGATTAAATTAAGTTTATCCAAGCTGGGGAAGGAGGCACGGTGGAGTAATACATAGCAGCTCGGATTGAGAAATCGGTGAGCCAAATTCGAGTTTCAGTCGAATCCATTGCATTCAATTATCTTCTATAGGTCCTAGGAGTATAACACTGAATTCAAAACCCGGTCCTTCAGGTTGAGGGTTGTGCAGTAGGCTAACAACCACTCAAAAACCACTTTTACTCACTTAAAAAACTGACTTGTTGCAGAAACCGCAACGATAGCTTACAGCCTCAAGGAATTTATACGCATTATATATATATATATATACTAGCAGTAGAGCCCGGCGTTACCCCGGGATGTAACAGTAAGAGATAGATCAAGTATCGACCATCATAAAGACTGAAAAATTAAATTGACAAAGATTATTGTTTAAGGTTGACGGACACGCATGTGTTAATTATTATTTTTTTTTTTTTTTACGAATTGGTCAAACCCAAACTCAAACAAAAACATTGTTTTCAATCGTTATGAGTCTACAGATTGAATAGAATTTTATTATAAACAATTGTCTTGTAAATGGAATTTTTAAAGCATTCTGAATGTAAATAAAGAAAAAAGTGTGCAAGACAATAAGAAACACTACCTGCCAAAAAAAGTGAAGTTTTGTTGAAACCGGTTGAAAAATCTAGGAAATCCGATCCCATATTTAAACAAACACACGCACACACAAACAACCAACTTGGGTTTTATAATAAGTATAACTCGATATGAGTTGTCCCCCTTTCATTAATGCCTCTTAAACGTGTTTTCAAATTGATTTCGTGCAGAAACAATTGTGTTTTTCCAATTTTTGGCGCTGTCAGAACCACCGCAAAGTAATTTTACGTAGTTCTGTGAAGTTTTGTTGAAATCGGTTGAAAAATGTAGGAAATCCGATCCAATATATAATCTAACTAGTGATCTCATCTCACAATCCTCACACTTGCTCCATATGTGGCCTCCTTTGTAAATCACTAGCGGGTCTTAAGTGCCACTTAAGATTATCCCACAAAATTTCATAACTGAATCAATTAAGCTGTCAGATCCTCATACGTCGAAACCGACGGGAGAGTCTATTATATACAACTGAAGGCAGCTACTACACTTTAACTCACGGCCGATGGCCAAAGAGTGAAAAGCGTTGTTCGATTAGCACTTGCAATTCTATAAGGAAGCGGCTTATATTAACCCGCGTAGTGTTAAAGGTAATTACATAAGCAGATGACAATCACTTGTCAATTATAATGCTTTAAAACGGAAAGTAGTGAGAAAACCCAGAGGCAGCACTTGTAAACTTTCAAAATTGCTAAAGTAATCGAAAAATATAATAGAGAAAGCACTGCATAAATTTTAGAAAAAAAAAATTCATTAATAAACGAACATAGTATTGATACACTATGGACACCCAACTGAGACGTGCATCTCTATTTGTAGATATTTACTGTTTAATTTAGACTATCTTTACCCGTGAGAATTTCATGGTTTTTCTATCTGAAATTTCTGCTGAATCGCAATTCTTCACTTCATGATTGACTAAGCACATGGCGAGTTGTACGACAATAAAATAGAAATTCTCCTATCGCATCGTTAAATATTTGAGCGTAACGACTTGAAGAAAATATTACAATAACACTCATTAATATGAATACTAGTCGTTATTCTAAGAAGTAAGGGGGTACAAATGAAAAGATTTCAAATTGACAACATTTTCCATTTTCACTGAAACAGACGTTAAACACTTCTATCTTCTCCTCTTTCTTTCATTTTCTCGCAGAAAACAAGTAACAATATTTGAAATATCTTTTGTCTTCTCGTGCCATCAAAACAGAATAAACCATTATTTATGAGGTATTATCAGGAGACTTAAAAAAAAAGCTATCTTTCTTTCTTTCTGGCTTTCAGGCATTCTTTCTTTCACTTAAACCAAATACCGTCTCTGATCCGCCTGTTGTCTTTCCACGTGATCAAAGCGGTATAGTCCCTTTAGTAATGAGGTAAAGGTCGTGAAAACTATCGACGGGAGAGACAAGCACATATATTACGTGATGTTGATTGAAGTCTTTGTACTTTAACTAAGTTTTGGGGAAACAGTAATTCTGCCATTCTTTGACAATGCTTGACAATTTGAGATTAATACATTCTGCCCAGGATTGCTGTAAGGTCAAAATCCAGAGAAGGGTTGTATTAAGACGACATTCATTAACAAGATGCAAATTCTTCTTGAAGCATACAAGCCGTCCATTTCTTGACGACCTTGCACTTTGGATGCTAGTTAGTCAATCACATTTAATACGTCTTGGGTAAGACGATGTACTACATCCGCGTCCTGGGAAAGATGATAAACTACATCCGAGCCCTGGGTAAGACGATAAACCACATCCACCAGCTAGGCCTCTGATCAGGAGGTTTTGAGGAGCGTGGAACAACGTCTTAATTGCTGGTGTTCCCAGGTTCGCCCTGACTCGTGGTGGTAGCACCTGTTAAGATCCCTCCTATACGCAAATACTTCACCCCCTTCAAACTGGGGGGTCAAAACATTATGAAAGTGCAAAAATAGGTCTTAGTACCAGCAATACCTTTTTGTAAAAAATTATTACAGCAATGAATTTTTGAAGGAAAAAATTATTACCAGCAATATATTTTGAAAAAAAAATATTACCAGCAATTTTTTGACAAAAATAATGTTACCAGCAATACATTTTTGAAGGAAAACATACTACCAATACTACATTTTTGAAGGAAAAAATATTACTTTTACGCATATGTATTTATATATACATATATAAAAATGTTGGCATTAAATAACACTTTGAGGTTAATATGCCATAAAACAAACCAAATTAAGACAAAACAAACATTCAGTTGATGATTTGTATGAAAATGACACTTGCCTTGTTTTTTGATAAAACAAAAATATTTCATTCTTCGAGTTTTGTTTGGAAATAGCGTGGATTCACTTCTTTTGCCAAAGTATAGATAGGTTTTCCCTATCGTTCGATCTTTTGAACAGGAGTAGAGGTTTATCCCTTGTTTCTTGATTAGGTTTTGGTTTCTCATTTACTATACTTCTAACGACATCGCTTGAACTCTGAGATTTATTTACTATTTATTTGTTTGTATTTTTAATTTACTTTATTTTTCCTCAATAGGAGTAGATAGGTTCGTCTATCGTCCGGTTCAAGCTCCTCTCTTGTCTTTTGAACAGGAAAAGAGATTTATCCCTTTTTTGATTACGATTGGATTTCCGGTTCCTTCAACTCTGTATTTCTGACGTCTCTGTCGGAAATCTGATATTCTCTTCAGTAATTATTATGATTTTTTTTCCTTTACCAATAGATGTAGATAGGTTTGCCTATCGTCCGATTCACACACCTTCCCGGACTTTTGAACAGGGGTAGAGATCTATCCCTTGGTCTGGCATTGGTTTGCCGATCCCTTCTAAAGTCTACTTCAACTCTATGATTTTAACGTCTCCATGTGAACTCTCTAATTAAATCTTGACGTCTTCAAGTCTAGAGTTAGCTTTTATATTTCCTACATAGCCTCAAGAATTCTATGTCTTGCTCTCTCTTATGCTAATGCAACTCCAGAGTAATATTCTACATTGAGTGGCTCTTTGGCCTTGTATTGGTTGAACATTAAAAAAAAGAGCTTTCGAGCATTCACATTTTTTTTTACTTTCGAACTTGCATGGATTCACAATTATTTGAATGCACTGTCAATTGCATGCATATCAGTCCTCTGAGAGATTTATCTTCACCCTCCACTGAGTTAGGTTATGACACAAGGTCGAGTTTTAACGCGGGGACCCGAGTGGTCCCACACAGGTCACTGATATAAAATGGTCCTAGCTTGTCTAAGCTGGCCAAAGCTTGTATAAGCTGGCCACAGCTTCTCTAAGTTGGTCTTAGCTGGTATTAGCTTGTCTAAGCTGGTCAAAGATTATCTAAGCTGGCCTTAGTCGGTCTTGGCATGTCTAAGCTGGTCAAAGCTGGTCTTAACTGGTCATAGCTTGTCTTAGCTGTTCTTAGCTGATCCTAGCTTGACTAACCTGGTCAAAGCTTGTCTAAACCTAGTATCAGCTGATCATATCATGTCTAAGCTGGTTTTAGATTGTCATAACTTGTCTAAGCTGGTGTTAGCTTGTTTAACCTGGCCTTAGCTGGTATTAGCTTGTCTAAGCTGGTCAAAGCTTCCATAAGCTGGCCTTAGCTGGTCTTGGCATGCCTAAGATGGTCAAAGCTAGTTTAAGCTGGTCTTAGCTGATCATAGCTTGTCTTAGCTGTCGAAGCTTGTATAGGCTGTCCTTAGCTGATCTTGGCATGTCTAAGATGGCCAAAGCTAGTTTAAGCTGGTCTTAGCTGGTCATAGCTTGTCTTAGCTGTCGAAGCTGTCTAAGCTGGTTTTAGCTCGTCGTAGTTTGTCTAAGCTGGTCAAGGCTTGTCTAACCTGGTCTTAGCTGGTCATAACTTAGCTGGTCAAAGCTTGTATAAGCTAGTTTTAGCTGATCTTAGCTTGTCTAAGATGGTGAAAGCTTGCCTAAGCTGGTCTTAGCTGGCCATAGCTTGTCTAAGATAGTCATAGCTGGTCATACCACCGGTACGTAACAGATGTTATGCAACGGTGGGGGAAAGAAAGGGAGGAGAGAAGACCTCTGGCACGGAACAGATACTACGCATCTACTGCGACGGTAAAAACATTCCTTCTCCTCTGCCAATTCTCCCAGAAGAATCCGAGAGGTAAGCCCCTTAGTCCTCTGAATGCCCTTGACAAACACATTCAAACATCTTCATACTTGAACATGCAGGCATTCACATTTATGTGAACGTATTTTACAAAAAAGTATTCAGAGGTCAGATAACTAAATTCAAATTTGAACGCCAGACCTCTGAAAGAATTCGTTTTTGATATGAGGAAATGTCAATATAGTTTGAATTATTCGGGGTTTTTTTTAATTATTTTTGTCTGTATTGCTTGAGTTCTCATTATTCGCACTATTTATATTCGGACTATTGCCCTAAACTTTGTTGTTATCACAACGTCTCGGACGTTGTACCCTCAGGTGTATATCGATCTGGGTAACCTACAACGAAATCTGAACTAAACACTTTATTTGATCTACGGGTGGTAGACAGTTCTCGTGCCACTGCCCATCGGCTCGTTCTTATTTTTATTTTGTACTGTTCTGTTATTGCTCGCCCGTCTCCACTGAGTGCAAGTACACACTGCTCAGCCAGGGATTGAACTCACAACCACTACGCTATCAAACCAACGTTTTTATCCACTAGACTATTGTAGCTTTAGAAATAACAAATGGCATCAACGGGACAAATTAGTTCATCACTCACTACATCACAAAATAGGATTTATCGTCAACAACGAAGATGAGGACAAAAGCCTAAAAATAGATGATGTAAATAATTTTACACTATTTACATTATTCTGACTATTTTCCTCACCTTTGTCGCCATATTAAGGACTCATGGCACAGTGGATACAGGCGTTGGTTAGATCCAGTGACAGGACCCAAAGAGTGTGAGTTCAATACCCGGTTAAGGCAGTGGAGAAGTTGCAGAGGGAAATTAACAGGAGATAACTGATAACTGACATCCATTATACATGGCACGTCGAACTAGAACAGTCTACCCCAGTGAGCGTAAAAAGGGTTCAGTTCGACATCCCAACCACCTGAAGAAGGCCGGAGCGTACAACGGCCGAAACGTTGTAATAAATATAGCGACAAAGATGAGAACAATAGTCCGAATAATGTAAATAGTGTACATAGTACCTCATCTCAGTAATATAGATAAATAATTTTAATCTATTATTCTCATTTTTAATCGTTAGAGACTTTAACAGAGGCACAACGTTTCGACCAAGTACGCTCTGGCCATCTTCACCAAATCATGAAAGCCACTGCAATTGGATTTTAAAATGTCCCAGGGACATCCTTCAGGATATTGCTGGTATTTAATCACGTTTTCCTGTCACCTAGTGGTTGTGAGTTCAATCCTTCAGTGAGTTAATGAAATCCATATGATATGATGCAACTTAGTTTGGCTTGTTTTATTGTGTTTTTGGCATCAACCTCAATGAGTTATTTAATGCCGACAACATTTTTAGGGTAGGTTTGTATGAATAGAATATGTATTCTTTGTAAGAATATAGATCAGGTTCCATTGACGTATTTTTGTAAAGAGGCTTGTTGTCGAGAGTCAAATGTATTGCTGGTAATATTTTTTCAAAAATGTATTGCTGTTATTTTTTCTATAAAAATCTATTTTTACACTTTCATGGGGTTTTGGTCACAGTTAGGGGTTTAACTATTTTCCCATAGCTGGGACCCTAACAGGTGCTACCACCCTGGGTCTGGGTGGAGCTGGGAACACCAGCAATTAAGAGGTGATTCAAAGCTCCTCAAAATCTTCCGACCAGAAGCCTTGCTACCGCATGTAGTTTAGGCGCAACTTAATGGAATAAGAAACTGCATCGATGGTTGCGCTGTTGGTCTCCAACAGCGCAACCATCGGCATATGGCAAGATAGCATTTATCGACCATAATAAAGAATACCTGACGATAGCCGGGGTATCTGGTTGAAACTCCGTCTCTATAGAAAAGTAAATGTAGTATTGATCTGATTCAGATCAAATAAGATGCAGATTATGAACAAAACATGATATGTTCGTATGGCGTGACGTGTCAAGTTTCGCCCTTATCTATCTCGTTTACTTAACACAAATTTTGTTCCGAAAGTTATGAGTTCATTCTCTCTCCGCTATGGGTTATAAATAGGAGGGTAGACTAGGCTTTCTAGCTTTGGTTGACAACCAGTTCAGTAGAAGCCCTAATCAGAAAAGAAAACCATTGAAAAGGCGATTTGAAACGACTCAACTTACCTTACCCAAGATGATGTGGTAATTCATAAATAACAAATAAAAGGTTCATGAGGGCCAAAAACGTTCTAGAAGCGCAAGGTTTAAAAAAAAAAAGATAAAAATATTTGATGGAGACGGGAAAATTGTATATTTTATTACCCGGTTGTTTAAAGATCTTTAAAAACAACAGCTCTTAGTGTCGAAACACGATCTTTTAATTGTAAAATGCCTGATATACTGAGAAAGAATGATCGTTCATTAATGTCCGCCATCTTGGCGTTAGTTAGAATTACTTTACATAAGAATTTGTTTGTTTTGTCGATTTTAGTTTTGCTTTTAAATGTATGAAATTTAGAGTTAATTGTAGATGACAAGATTTAACGTTCACTAAATTCAAAAAGAGGCTAATCTCATTTATCTGTTCTTAATTCTTGTTAACTTTTTAATCTTCTTTAATTTCCTTTAGTTTTAAATTTTTAACCGTTTTCACGTTGTTTTTCATTCACCGTCTCCAGCGTAAATGGCCCGAGAGGATTTTATCAGAAGAAAGTCTTATATGGAATTGCATAAGACGTGAGCGCTTGAAACGTTGTTTCCTTGAGTCATCGAAGGCTATTTTCCACCGGAAGAAAAACGATTACAAATGCCTAAAATGAAAAGTACTGTACTGCATCAAGTAGTATGGCGTTATACGAAGAAATACAATATTACATGTCCATCAGCGGTCATCACAAAAGCAATAATAGCACAATGTGGTATACGAGCTAGTGGAGAACAAACACTCACTGATTTATTCCTACAAAAACCAGATATAGAAGTTAATTATATTTAGGCGAGAATACATCTTCGCAAACAAATTTAATAAAGTACATTAACCCCGAACCTGTAGATGAATGTTATGATTACTGTTTATAAATTCCAGTTGCATAAGGTCTTTTTTTAATTTTTTTACAAGGTTTCATTTGTGCATGCAGACATCATCAGGTATGGAAAAAGATTTGTTTTTTACATCCCAGTAATAACAGGACAACAAAAGAATAGATGTAATCGGAAATATGTTTTTAGAAATGTGTTATTGTTTATTGTAAAAAAGTAAAAAAACAAATCTATTTCCATACCTTATGATGTCTGTATGCATTTGATGATATATATATATATATATATATATATATATATATATATATATATATATATATATATATAAGCTGCCCCAAATGTTTTTTCCGATTTTTGTTAATTCATTTCTGGTCCAGCTGTTTAGTTACTAATAAACATAAGTATACAGGAAGCAACTTGTATTGTCAAGTACATTGTTGAATGATTCAGTTATTTTATTACATAACTAATATCATTTTATTTCTCATTTCAACACCCTTAAAATGACTGATAAAAAATTGGTAATTCGTGCTTGTCTGTTGTATGAGTTTAAACTTGGTACAAGTTCATCATGTGCTTCTCATAGGCTATGTACAGCCTTTGGCGAAGGTACAGTAAGTGAATGGACTGCACGTAATTGGTTTCAGAAGTTTCATTGTGACAATGAAACCCTAAAAAGATGAACCTCGAGCTGGACGACCAATATCCCTAAACAATGAGGATTTAAAGGCAGCCATAGAATCAGATTCAGGTTTAACATGTCATGAACTAGCTTCGAGGTTTAACGTAAGCGATGAAACTATAAGACTGCATTTGCACCAGCTGGGGAAGAAATGGAAATTAAGCAAATGAGTACCATATGACTTAACACCATCAAACAAACTGCAGAGGCTTACCATACACTCTTCTCATCACAGTAGACTAATAAAAGAACCCATTTTTGATCGAATTATGATAAGTGATGAAAAGTGGATCATGTATACAAACTCTAAGAGGAAACATCATTGGTTATCACTGGGTGATCCTTTGTCACAAACTTCAAAGGCACCACAATTCAAAAACAAAAAAAACTTTTTCTGTGTGCTTGGTGGACATATCAAGGAATAATTCACTACGAGTTTTTAAAAACGGGTGAAACCATTACTGCTAACAAATATTGTGAGCAACCTGAACGAGTTCAGGAAAATTTGTTGAAGTAACAGCCTGCATTAGTAAACAGAAAACAAGTTTTGTTTCTCAAGGACAATGCTTGCCCACACGTTGCAAAAATGACCCTTGCCAAGATAACAGAGCTAAAGTGGGAGATTATGCTTCATCCACCATATTCAACAGACCTCTCCCCAACAGATTTTCACTTATTTTTAGGCTTAGATAATCATATGAAAAACAGGACATTTAATAATGAAGATGACATGAAAAACGGAAGTGCATAACTTTTTCCAAATTAAAACTAAGGGCTTTTACAAAAATGGCATTACTCAGTTGTTATACCGTTTGGAGAAGGCCATAGAATGTTATGATTCATATTTTGATGAATAAATACATTTAAGAATTTAAATATGCATCTTTAATCTCCTTTATAAAAATCGGCAAAAACCTTTTAGGGCACCTGATATATATATATATATATATATATATATATATATATATATATATATATATATATATAGTAGTAGTAGTAGTAGTAGTAGTAATCTTATAAGTATAAGAAACTATACTCGTTCGGAAAACATTCGGTGTCTTGATTTGTAAATAATCAAACCAATACCAAAGGGAAAAAAGGTATAAAAAAAGAAGCAAGAACATGTACGTTAGCCGAAAATAATCGTCTAGCGTGCAAGTCCAAACCCCAAAGAAAAAAAAACGATACGAGTAAGTAAAATAACTAAATAAAGTGCTCAATACAATAAGTAATGCAGACCTAGTTAAACCTAGAGAGCCAGATAACCTACCAAGGTTTCACCTAAGCGGATCGTCAGGGAAGGCTGGCACTTGGCATATATATATATATATATATATATAGATATATATATATATATATTCCCTGACGATCCGCTAAGGTGAAACCGTGGTAGGTTGTTTGGCTCTCTAGGCTTAACTATATATATATATATATATATATATATATATAGAAAAAGTTTCAAACTAAAAATTATAATGTTTTATTTTATGAAAGTATTTATTTATTTATATATATATTTGATATTTCAAATTGTCCTCAATTTTTCATCAGAAATAACTGTTTGTTACAAATAAATTAAAATTACTGTTTGTTGGCAAGTAGCGTCCTTCGAGAGACGCGGACGTCACGTGATATGGAACGTCACTGTTCAGATATTCCTAACTTAAATCTAACTGTCATAAATATTTTAAAAAATATATTTTTTTTTTTTTTTTTTTTTTTTACTATATCTAAAGAAATTGCTTAGCTATTGAAATATTTATAAAGATTTAAAACACCTAAGTCCCTATTCAACCCTAATTTATGTGTATTTAATTTTAAAATCCAATATGTTTCTTTTTTTCTGCGTGTGAATGTGGAAGTAAAATCGGAATCTATTAATAAACATTTGCAGTTTTCTAATGTGTGTCCTGATTGATTGTAGTGTTTAGCTATGGGGAATAAGGGTTGTTTTGACGTATTGTTTGTTTATGGTTATTAAAACGAAATCTAAAATTGTTTCCAGACTCACCAATATATCCACTATTAGGACATAAGTTGCAGAATAAATAATAGATTACGTTATGGGTATCGCAGGTGAGGTTAGGTGGCTGTATCCTGATATTGGTGTTGGGTACGTAAAATGTATTAGCTATTACTAAATGTTTGCAAACTAAGCAACGAGGTTTGTTACATTTGTAATTTCCTGTTTGGTTTCTATTGTTTAGATATTTGGTAGAGGTGAGGATAGCTGATAAGTTAGGTGATTGTTTCATTGCATTTATGGGTGGTTTATCGAAAATGTCTTTGATATTGTTGTCTAATTGGAGGTTCTTGTAATCATTTTTTAAATTGTGAATAAGTGTGTGGGAATATTGATTGTGGTTAAAAACCATGGGAATCCGATTGTTGTTTTTATTTTTCTTGTATGTGAGAAGTGTGTTACGATTTATCAGGATAGTTTTATTTAGTGCTTCTTTTATTATTTTTATTGGGTATTGTCGACAATTCTTTCATTTTAACTACATTTAAGGATTTTTGTTTGTTTTTCAAAATTTCTACATATATATATATATATATATATATATATATATTGGATGGTTTCTCCTTGACTTCGGAACGACACAAATTATACTAATGTTGCTTTAAAGAGTTGAATGTAAGTGAAACATGACTGACCAATAAAAATCTAAACACTGCCTACCATTTACCCAAACTCGCTAGATAGGCTACATGTTGTTTTCCTCTGTTCTTCTTCCGTTCAATCTACCCCGTGAGTATCAAATTTTCCAAGCTCACTTCCCTCATCACGTGCTCTAGAAATCTTTAACTGATATTAACTACAGGTGTCCTTTTTGTTTCCATTTCCTCTAAAACTTCGTCATTGCTCACATGTCCGGCCCATGGTATTCTCAGCATCCTCCTTCAAGTCTCCAGAATTACTTTGAAGTCCGGAGTCACTTCACATTAAATTGGACGCTTTGATTAATTGACTGTTTTGTGTAATGGTTAAATTGGTTTTCAAACACACGGCTTATAGACAACCCTTTGGAACTTTGTTTCTATCAATCTCCAGTTATGCTTTTAAAACAGCGTTACTTAATGGTATCATTTGTGGGATAGACCAACCTCCTTCTAGTTGGATACTCGAGATTTATTGCTCGCAAATACTGCAATTGTGGCCTCAAGTAGGATACTTTTCACGTTAACGTCTCTCGGCACAGTACTGTACTGTACTGTTCTGATGCGGCATTCACCCTGGGCGGATTGAGCCGGCTTCTTCCTGTTATGAGAAGAAGATTCTTGGGATAAATTACAGAAGTAGGGTACCCAGGCCTACTCGGATAACGTTCTTGCTTGCCGCGGGGTTCCCACAGACGCAGAGACAGGAACGACCAGAAGCCGCCGGTTACCGATGCAGACGCTCCTTGGATTTTCACCAGAGCCCTTGTTAGCCGGCGTGTGTGTCAGACCTGTCCGCCTTGGGTGGCCCTACCAGGAACGAAGTTCCGGGCGGCATAGCTCTGACACTACCGTTTACACCCCCCCACCGACTGTGAGGTAAGGGTTGGACTTTGGACTTACGGTCAAATCACGCTGAAAACACCGGTTCTCGTTCGATCACCGAAGTTAAGCATCGTAGAGCCAGGTCAGTACTTAGATGGGGGACCGCTTGGGAACACCTGGTACTGTAAGCCCCCCCAAAGTATCGGCACAGTCACTACAATCGGTTAG